AATTTTTCATGCGACGAACCAAACTTAGTTAAGTTCATAAAAATTTTGACGTCAAGCTCAGTTAACTTCGTATGAAGGAGTTTGGATCGTCTGAAGCAGACGGATAGAAAGGATCGTCTCCGGGACAAACTCGTCGAACTTCGCATGTGACGATCACCAAACTAATATATCAAAAATTTGTGTGATGATGTATCTTTAGCGTCGTTCGGGAGAAAATTTATTACTGATCTGGTCCAGCTGACTGGTTCGACGTGTCCTAAGTTCGACGTCTGACCCAACAGACGATCTTAACTTAAGTTAGGTCAACCCAAATTAGAGTTTGGTTCGTCTCATGAAAAGTGCGACGTTTGGCCTAGGCCTAAGATCCAACGATGCGATGGCAACGAGAAGGTCGCACGTGCACCACACTTCTTTGTACATTTCTTTGCCGTTTTTGCACTACTACGACGTGAAAATGCCTAAGGCCCCGTCCGCACATATTCGAATATTTTTGAAAACAGATTTTTGTCCCTCCGTTTTCAAAAAAAAATACGCTTCCAGACGTAACGTATTCGAATCGTTTTCGCCCGCTCATACGAAAACGCTGAGGATGCGTTATGGTAGTAGTAAATGATGTACTACATCATTGTATTCGAAAAACTCGTCCGTTTTTGTCCTTCCTCGCGTAAGCGAGTGGCCAGCGTTTTTCAAAAATCTTCACTCTGGAGAGCGTTTTGAAAAGATGCGTTTTCGGTGATCGTTTTCACCGAATACATGTGGACGGTAGGCGAAACCGGAGAAAAAAAATCGCCGTTTTCAAACAAAAACGGATATGTGCGGACGGGGCCTGAATTAGCGCTTTAAGGTTGATTTCCACTAACGCGTTTTTGGCGGTTACGCACGTTAACGCTCGTAGGGCAAGATAAAAAGTGCTGAGCTTAAACGAGAAGTTGAGCAAGGTTCAACTTTTACGTTTGCGAGCGACCTTTCATGCATTGCCTTTATTTCATTTCCGAACGCACCCACGCACGTAAAAATTACGCGACACTGGAAATCAACGCTATGGAAACCGTAAACGAGCAAAGGCTAAATTTTATTTCGCTTTCTGAACTTTGATATGATCCCTTGCAATTCAACTTCAGGAGGGTTCGCCTGACTGACAAAGCAAGTGGGAGGAATAATCGCGATAAAGACTGAAAGAACGAAAATTCTCTTTTCTCGCAAATTTCGACGTTCTTGTTGCCGACGCGTCTTTGGACCTTCAAGTCCCTATTGTTAAATACGCGGCCTTATTCTCTTTACAATTTATCGTCCAGAAAATTACTTGCATGTAAATTACAAAATCTCTGCTTCGCCTAAAACAAGTGTCTCCTAAGTATTGAAACGTTACAGACCAACAAAAATGAAGTTTGAAGGACTGCTAGACTGGAAGGTTTCAAAAACCATAATTGCAATAACATATATTAGTTTGTTTTTGTTGGCACCGTCATAATTATCTTCCATTTTTCTACGGGAAGACTTAAGCCTGTAAAATCAATTCACAATGAACAATGCACAATTTTAGGGTTTGCGTGAAGTCTGGGGAACCAGTAAGACGCCTGCAGAACGTCAATCAGCACGCACAGCAGAGATTTTGCAAATCTGTGCCTTTACACCAAAGTTTGTTTTTTTGGTTTGGGTCGGTTTTAAGTTTGTCTAGTTACATTTCCTTGCATACAATTGATTAGAAGTAAATGCCTTTAGGTCTGGTCAAATACCTATATTGAGAGACTGTTTTCTTTCGGGATTACAAACCTAGCATAGGTCGACTACATCAATAGGGAAATGTACTAAAAATAGAGCCCAAGAGAGGGCTTTGTTTTGGATTGGTCTTAGCCCACGGAGCAGGAACATGTAGGAACGCATGACGAACCCCTAAGAACGTCTGCGTGGGAGGCTACGTAGATTGGTCTCAAATTAAATAAAACTGAATCTAACACCGCAGGCGTTTTTCTTAAACGCTCTAATCAAATAACTCAGCAAGCTGTAGGGTCACGTACTCGCTCGCTGCCAGCTCTTTGATTACCCTGGGAAACATTATCGAATTACGGTCCGACTTATAGTTAACACTAAACCTCGACGCTGATAGGAAACCATAATGAATTTTGGCTGATAGGCAAAAATAAATCTAGCAACAGTTTAATTCTGAGAATGAAACTGATCAACCAGAAAATATGTAAGAAAGATAAAGAATGTAACATGTGGTCTAGAGCCATTTATTCCATTTCTGTCGTTCAAGGAGTCATTTAGCTAACCTCGACCAGTTAGTTCTTCCTCCAAATCTCATGCGTTGCACAAATAAATGGTCGCTAATTAAACCCCAGTTCGCTGGATCTAACTTATAGAGATCGCCTTACCTCCATCAGTCTCTCATCTCTTAATTACGCAGTACTGGTTTAAAATAGAAGAATCTAGAACTTCTCTTCTCTTCTTACAGCCTTTACCAAGATTAAAATGGGGTCAGTGCTAGTTAAGCAAAACTTCAATCGGGCCTTTCAGTGGCATAGCGTGGGATTTAGAAGGAGCTCCAAACAAAGGAAGGGAAATGTTAAGAGGGGACAGCGAAGAGTACATTTTTTTCGTTTCTCACCCCATTATAACGTTTCTTGCCATCGGTTTATGGAATAATGAAAGGTTAAAGAAAACACACAAAGACACCACTATATTGCGACAAGAGAGAATGATCTTGATTGCGAAAAATAAGTCGGTCATCCCGATTAAACGAAATAAAAAAGGGAAATTAGGGAAATAAAAAATTTAAATATTATTTCCTGCAGATTTCAGCCGTACGCACGGGGGTGAGCTACGCTCCTGCATTACTGAAGGGTGATCACTAAGGAAATTAAAAGTATTTTTATCACTCACCAGTTTTTTCACTTGTCTCGCCAAAATAGTCCATTAACACGGGTAACAGAACGCCGAAGCTAAGAGCAAAGCCAAGGCCAAGAGCATTACAAATCATTGCTGAAATACACACAACCCAAGACCACAAACTGTCTTGGTGACGCTTGCCTCGGAAAAACTGTCCTAGTTTCCCAAGACTAGGATCTTCTTGAGCATGCATTTTTCAGTTTGAGATCAGAACTCACCGCGCCTGACCTGGTGAACTTGATTAGGGCGACTCAGTGGGATCTTTCAAGTACTGTTAAATGCTCGCGCAGTACACTATTCTTTCTTTGGGTATAAGCTTGCATGCATTTGGTTATATGTTAAACTGCTATCAAGTTTCTAACTAGATTTTCAGGGTCTTGATTGCGAACAAAAGGTAATGATACATCTTAACTAAAAGACTCATCTGATTGGCTACTATATAATTATTATTGTTCTTGTTACTATTATAATTCTTAAAATTCTTGTTTTTCCCTTTATCATGTTCCCCACCTACGTCCCGTATATAAATGATGAGAGTTGTGTGGAAATGTACTCGCCCAGTCAATTAACGAGTGGTACCATCCGACACTCTGTTCCTTCACAGCACTTTATTCTCTTGCAGAAGCAGCTTCTTACTTCTAAGTTCTTCGGCTACAACTAATAACTAACAAGCCTATTACCAGCGAATTAAATAACCAAATTGTCGTGTTTATGTTAGCTGACCGTGAGAACTTTCCGTTCATCACAAGCCTCAGCTTTCCGCAAGTTAAAAGAGTTGAGTATCCATCATCGTAACAGTTTTGCGGTCAACTACCGCAAATTACAATATAATTTTAACCGAAACCAGAGCTGTACATTTCGTTGCATAATTGACGCCTCTATCATATTACTATCAGAGATCAACGGAATAGTGAATGTTAGAAAAACTACTGGGTATCTAGCAGAGTTGGAGGACTAAAATTCAGGGATCTCAGCTGGATACTGCGGTTTTTTTGGTTGCTAAGAACGCGCGGCTCGTTATGCATATCCTGTACAACAGTTTACACTTTCGTCATTGACAAGTACCAAAGAACCAAAAATGCTAGCGGTAAAATTGCTCAGTAGGACTAAGCACAAAAAAAAAAAAACATTAACTCCAGTGTAGGTAAAACCCAAGGTCAGCTATAATCCCCGAACATGCCTACTTCAAAGAACTTCATTTCAGTTTAACAAATCCTTCAAAAAGACGATACTACCAAAAAAACTAAGGAACTATCGGTGTGGGCTAAACATTGAATTAACTTGGACCATGAACTGTTTATTAAGAAAGTAGCACAGTACTACAAAAAAATCATTTTGATACCCTATAACTAAGACTGAAAACCTTAAAAATCCCAATAGTCAAAGACAAAACTAAAAGCAACCACGTCATAACGTAAACTACACATACAAACCACAATACCCTGGTTCGCTCTGGCGAAGGCTAGCGTTTGAAACGTGAGCTTCTCAACAAACCTTTAAATTATGCAACAGTTGGTTTCATGATTTTCAGAGGATTAAAGGCACTATGTCAAGCTATTTGCTATCTCTTTAAAAAGCTAAAACGTGTCTTCGAATCAACTGAATTGCTAAGATAGTGGTCCGGTTTTGTTATTTAAGACTATATTTAGGTGTTGATCGAAACTGTTTTCTGTTGTTGCAACGGACGGCAAGGATGGACATGGATTGAAACTTGGAAAAGTTGGGCCAACCTTTTCATGTGTTAATACTTTGAAAAAGTCACGGAAAAATGTTATGGTTAGTGCACCCTACGGACATTTTTTTGACATATTCTTCATAACTCAGGGGCACCCAACGACAATTTTCGGAAAATATCCGGTTCGGGAAGACGATTTGAGATCTAGAATTTTTGGAACATTTGTTGTAAAAATTCTTGCTTGCCTGCCTCTCCTAGGATTGTCGAACTTCTAAAAAATGTTATAATTGCCAATTTTTAACGGATTTTAACCCTTAAAAGATCATCTAGAGTTTTCGGGAGCCTTTTTTCTGGCTGAAATTTTCGAAAAGGTAAGTGTTGATCCCTATAATTTTCGATCACTAGACTTTCAGCTAGGAAATCCGAACAGATGAAAAATTCCTAGAGGATAAAAATATGCCTATTTCCACTGTACTAAAAATACGGTTAACAATGCTATGTTTAAGTGGTATTGAACTATATTCTCGTTAGGTGCCCCTGATAACTCTGAAAAGCATTTTGTGTANGAAATCCGAACAGATGAAAAATTCCTAGAGGATAAAAATATGCCTATTTCCACTGTACTAAAAATACGGTTAACAATGCTATGTTTAAGTGGTATTGAACTATATTCTCGTTAGGTGCCCCTGATAACTCTTAAAATTCATTTTGTGTATTGGTCAAGCCACACTAAGTTATGACTAATCAGTACAGAATAAACATAAAACAGCATTATCCTCGTGACACAGACCCTTTAACCCTTTAAAAATATCTCTTAGCATGCAAACGTCCAAATGATACGGTGGCTTGCTAGTCGACTCGTAATTGCCGCGTCTCTAACCAGTCCTGCTAAAACATATAATGACTCATTCTACATCCTTCTTTAATGAAAATTGAAATTAACAGTATGTTTGTTACCGCTTCACTACCCTGTTACCTTACTTGATTAGTTTATGAAGGCCTAGACTGACACAAATTATTTAGATACTTTCAAGCCGCGAAGCGACGCCTGAAAAATATTTTTAGAATGATTTCACACTGAACAACTTTTTCATAAATGTTTTTACTGACTCGTTTTATTCAAGCACGTCAGAACATACACATCACTGTTACATATATAGTTTTCAGCAAAATATATGTTATACATCTTTGTTATTCAACTTCAAAAACAGTGCTCCTGCAGTGGTCAGTATTTTTATTTAAAGGTATTCGACAGACCGTGATGCCCTAGAGGTGTGTCTGACAGTGCTGTGGAATCTACACACACGAGTAAAACTCCCATAACAACAAAGAGCTCAGTTGGAGTTAAAAAAAAAGGGCCGTTATGACGAGGTTACAGACCTGGCGTGGCATGCATGGCATCTGCAACAAGGGAAAAGGAGAGGAGACAATAAGGGCAGAAAAAAAGAGGGAGCGCCAATTAAATCAAAAATGTGACGTTTGGTCAGGAGGTTAAAATTACTATGCAGGAAGTCGTAGCTAGTTAATGAGTAACTAAGACTTCCCGCATTAACATATGTTATCATCCAGAAAATTTTAATAAGATTTCTGGGACTCTATTTGCTAGTAAATAACTTGTTGAAGTGTAAAGTCCCGCCCATACGAATTCGGACATTTTTGGAATCGTATATTATTATTATTATTATTATTATTGTTATTATTATTATTATTATTATTATTATTATTATTATTACTATTACTATTATTATTGTTATGTTCAAGTGCAAGTGTCATACCACTGAGGTGGCCTTTTCTCCCCTAAACATCTAGCTATATCCTAAAACCCTTAGGCCTGTCTAGGGTCCTTCTTAAGATCGTGGTTGTTCTCACCAAACAACCAAAGATCACTGCAATGATCCCAAGTGTTCCCTGAGTTTGCCGATCCACATTCTGAGGTTTTTACTAATTTTTTTTACTCTACCTTTGCATTTAATTCTTCATTCTGCGGTTGCAATAAATGAAATTTATATATTCCTCATTTCCAGCCCTCTTCATCTTTCCAGGGATTTTACGAATCAACGAGTTGCCCCAAGCCTCTGTTTTAAAGCGCGAGGCTAAGTGCAAAACCATTGATATAAAAATGTTATTTTATTTTCATGCAAATAAACTTAAACTTTCACGAGAAGGGTTTTGCACTTGGATTTTGAACGTGAGAGTTTTTGGAACTCGGAAATGGCTTGTTACGAAAACATTTAAGTCATCAGTATGGAATTTTTGGGCCCGAGACGCAGACTGTGCCATTTGAACTACGTTCTGCTGTCGACTACGGTCAACCAGTTTAATTAGTTTGCATACAATGGCTTAAAGTTTGGTTTCAAGTGAATGTTTACAAGGAGCTCTGCTTTTAGGCTTACCTATGCTGTTGTTAAGAGTCGTTTTTCATTTTTTTTTTGTGATTTAATCTCTATGTTAGGATTAGTCGCTGGAGAAATATGCTAAGCATAAAGCGCAAGCAAAAGCTTTTGTTTTGTACTTACTGTTTGTTTAGTTTTACTAATGACCTCGAATCTTAAAACCTGCTGCAGGCGTTTTACTTGCTTCAACTTGGTAGTTACGTAACACAGGAACGTGTAGAGTCACTTCACATTCGCGCCAGCCCTTTACTCCGAGAAAAATCATCGAATTAATTTTTCAGCAGAAAACCTCGAAGATAAGAGTAAACCATGGTGAAGTTTTGCTGATAGCTGACAAAATCTTGCAATAACATATGACAATCGAAAATTGATCAACCATAAACAATGTAAGGAATATAAAGAACTTAATATGTGCTAGATTTAAATATTCCAAAGCATTGCTCACTTTGGCTAAGCTCTACCCTATNGTTCTGCTGTCGACTACGGTCAACCAGTTTAATTAGTTTGCATACAATGGCTTAAAGTTTGGTTTCAAGTGAATGTTTACAAGGAGCTCTGCTTTTAGGCTTACCTATGCTGTTGTTAAGAGTCGTTTTTCATTTTTTTTTTGTGATTTAATCTCTATGTTAGGATTAGTCGCTGGAGAAATATGCTAAGCATAAAGCGCAAGCAAAAGCTTTTGTTTTGTACTTACTGTTTGTTTAGTTTTACTAATGACCTCGAATCTTAAAACCTGCTGCAGGCGTTTTACTTGCTTCAACTTGGTAGTTACGTAACACAGGAACGTGTAGAGTCACTTCACATTCGCGCCAGCCCTTTACTCCGAGAAAAATCATCGAATTAATTTTTCAGCAGAAAACCTCGAAGATAAGAGTAAACCATGGTGAAGTTTTGCTGATAGCTGACAAAATCTTGCAATAACATATGACAATCGAAAATTGATCAACCATAAACAATGTAAGGAATATAAAGAACTTAATATGTGCTAGATTTAAATATTCCAAAGCATTGCTCACTTTGGCTAAGCTCTACCCTATAGTTATCGCTCAAAATCTCGTATGTCGCGCAAAATAATTGACCTCTCGCTACTCGTCCCCAGCTCAGTCAAAACACTCAAAATTTAATCTTATTTATTTATCTTATTTATTTTTAATCGCCTTACTCCACTCAGTCTACAGGTTAGAGAAATTGGATCTTGTCTTCGTCTATAAGTGCAAGTCGAACAAGATAGCCATTACCTTAAGAGCTACTTAACTTTTCATTCTGGTCACACGCGATATGGTAAAATTGTACCTAAAACCAGCAATAATCACTTAAACCTTAGCTTTCACAGACACCTTTTTCGACCGTATTGCAAATATACTTCGAACGCTTAACCCGACGTATTCGGTTACAGTAGGAAACTGAGGACAACTTGTAAATTAGCCATCGTCCAAATGACTTTGAATTAGGACCGATTAAACAAATATGACTAGATAAATATATTAAATTTTAAATTTTAAAACACAATTTCAGACATACCAAGGCGCCACGGACCCCCTATTGCAAAGCCCCCACTCTAAATCCGCCCATTTATTGTGATATTCAAATATTCCACTACTTCGATCATCAATTGTCAGCTAGAGTTAAGCGAAGCTCTACTCAACTGCCATTCAACGGGATCTTAGACTACATACACCTTTTATTATGTGATCACTAGCTAAGGAAGTTAAAATGATTTTCATCACTCACCAGTTCTTTCGCTTGTCTCATCAAAATAGTCCATTAACGCAGGAAGCAGAACTCCGTAACTTAGAGCAAAGCCAAGGCCAAGAGCATTACAAATCATTGCTGAAAAACACACAACCCAAGACCACAAACTGTCTTGGTGACGCTTGCCTCGGAAAAACCAGCCTAGTTTCCCAAGACTAGGATCGTTTTGAGCATTCATTTTGCAGTTGGAGATCATGGGTACTCACCACGTCTGGCCTGAAGAACTTGATTGGGGCGACTCATGATCAGTGTCACCTTCAAGGATTGCCAATTTTCGTGTACATGAGTTGTTCTTTGGGTATTAGCATGCGAGCCATTTGTTTCTAGAGGATGATGAACTGAGATCAACTTTCTACACAAGGTTTTCAAGTTTTTTGCAACTGGGTTGAAAAAATAGAAGGCAAAGCTAATGATACATCTTGAACGACTGATCTGATTCGCTACTATTATTAGAAGTTTATACGCGCTCGCAGCTGTAAGCGAGTCAGTACCAACGTCAACAACAAACTTCTTTTAAAAAAACGAATGAAGATCGCAGCGGGGATTGTCTGCATCATGCGTTGAAAAACAACAAATTGACAGTAGCAATGAATTGTCGTCTAACCGTTATTGTTTTGTTTTCTCTTTATAATTAACCGTTTCACATTCTGTTATCATGCAGTCGACATTCCAAAAGGTCAAAAACAAATTAAATCAAATCTTAGCACTGTTCGGAAACGGTTATTCAGTGTACCGAGTTCCACAGTGTTGTATCACATCTAGGAGCCGATGGTCTCAGTTCCACCACGAAAACGGCAATCAACTTTCGCTCTTTCTCCCGCAAAAAAAAAAAAAAAAAAATGATTTTGTGTTATTACGAGAAACAAAACCAAAGAAACGTTTCAGTCATAGAACAGTTTCAATGCTTCATTATTTCTTTCCTTCTTATAAATATTTCTTAGCAGAGGTCCAAGTGATAGACAACGAGTTTCACAGCCCAAGTTGTAAATGGTACACGGGGCCCTGTCCTTTGAGCATAGGGGTTTAGTAGTCGTCTCATCGTTGTTATTTACAACTGTTATAATCCATTCTAAATGCTTCTTTGTTCTTGTTTATGAATCTTGAAGTTATAGGTATTTTTTGTTACCGCTTCACTACACAGTCATCTTAATTATCAGGCAGGTTCTTAAGTAGCACAGGTTCTAAAAATTATCAATATAGCAAATTTCGGTGTAAGTTTCTCGAAGGCAAAGCTGAAAACAATAAGTTTCGGAATAATTTAGCACATTCAAGTCTTTTTTCGTTTCAACTTTTAGTGATTTTCTCTATTTTCATTCAAGTGCTAAAACACCATGGAAAGTATTTCAGTCAAACGACAAGCCGATCTATATATAAATTTTAACACATATTTCGAGACCATGGCTGCCTGTTTTTTATATAATCCCGTGTACAGATACATCGATGTGGCGATACATCAGAACCTTGAAACGAAGGGGCAGGAGCCGATTTCTGGAATGGGCAATTTATCAAAATGTATGACATTTACCCGAGGACATCAGTTTAGTCAGGGCCCAGTTGTTCGAAAGCCGATTAGCGCTTAACCCGGGGTTGATTAATCCTGGTTTCTTTTTCTTTTGTTCAAAAGCATTTTCTCGGATAATTTTCTCTTTTATTTTTAGAGCTTCCAATCATCAACTTGTAGACAAAAAGAATTAAAACTGAAATGCATTTTAAGCTTTCAAATCTTAATTCAAATCTCGCACTAACCCTGGGTTATCTCACAACCCAGCTTTGAACAACTCGGCCCAGGAGGCTTAAAATTAGGATGCAGGAAGTCCTAGTTACTCATTAATATCTAGTTAATGTAACACCGCGGCAAAAAGTACTGCTCATGAGCGAAAAATTTAACATCCGTTCACTTTCGTATTTCCAGTTGCGAAATATATAAACTAATTGAGAAAACTATATACCCCTGTCGCGCGAAGTTAAAAACAAAGAGCAAGAACCTGGAAAAGCCGTTTGAAGTTTGTAGTTCGTTCGCCTTTGACCAGACCTATTTGTTCTTACTTGCTTTCTTGCATGCTGCTGGTTTCGCATTCTGAGTTATTAAATTTGGGAGAAGACAGTAACTGAGGAAAGAATAGCAATACTTATTAAAGAAGTAACCAAAATACGGACGTCATTATTATCACTCATTAGAACTAGCCTATCTTGCAGTGTAGGCGTATTTTAGGCGGGTGAAAGCTGCTTGTTTTATGTTCATATTGTTGTAGCCGCCATCTTTGATTTTATGACGGAGGAAGAATGGGGAGAGTAGAAATAGCAACCCTTGCAGTGGCTGCTAGAGCGAAAGAGCGAAAAAAGGAAAAGGGGGAGGGGAAGGGGAGAAAAAATACGCCGTTTTCCCTTCTCTATCTATTTGCCTGGTATATTTAACAATTATTCGCCGAAGGCGAAGTTAATATTGTTGAATAATCCCCGAGACAAAGTCGAGGGGATTATTAAACAATATTAACTGAGCCTGAGGTGAATAATTGTTTTAGTATATTCACACGAAGTGATCTCAACAGAATCAGAAAGGAAACCATTAAAAAACGGTTAGTTTGATTGACGGGT